TCCAGCCGATTAATCGGCGAAAAATTGGGAATCGGTCGGACTGTAGTGACTATAGCCCAACCGTTTATCCAAATTAAACAAAGCGGGTATCACATGAAAAAGGACTAAAATAGCGTTCAAACTGAAATATCTAAACGATTAATGTCCTTTATTGAAAAACATTTAAATTAAATTTTTTTTTAAATGTCATAGAACAAACCGTGGGTAAGATAAAAAATATATATAAATAAGTCGTAACCTTCGTTTAGATATTTTTGGTTGAAAGCTATTTCAGTTCACTTTCATTTTATACTAAATTTATTTAATTTGAATAAGCGGTTTTTTTATTATTAGGAAATGACTTTTATTTCGGCCTAGAAAAATATTTAGCCAAGTTTAACTGTTATTACTGGACTAAAAAAAAGTCCAGATTTTTCAGGTATTGGACTTTTTCCTAAAAAGTTCAAAAATAGAAAGAATCCAGGATTCTTGTCCAGGAAGTTCTTGGATCAAAGGAACATTTATTACTTTGTTCTACGACAATATTTTGTCCGGACTTTTATAACATCGAAAAAAAACTGTTATTTTCGGTCCCTGGTTAAAAACTTTACGACATACGATACTTACGAGACCTTGTGAGCCACTTAATTGTATGTAAAATGGGTGCTTAATTTTTTTCCTATTTAATTAGGGAATTCCCAAATATAACTCATTGGGTGATTTAAAAAATGTGTTTGTTTCAAGAGTTTTGTGATCTTTTTTTACATGAATGCAAAAATTTCCAAACAAATTTTCAACAATTTGGATCCAGTATTTACGGGTATATCGTAGTTTTAGCACAAACTTTTGTTTTTGGTTAAATAATATCGGCGCTTAAAATACTCGTGTTATTTTAATTATCAAGAGAATTCGAAATTTTTTATTGAAAAAATGTTTTTGTGAATACTTACTGTAAAAACTGTCAGAACACCTAATGCGGTTTTTCGAACCCTTTAAAATATGCATTCTGATACTTTTCCAGTTTTATTGAATATAGTGACCTTAATCAGTTTTCTCTCGCACTCCACTCTTTAAGTGAAATTCCACAAAGGGAAATATGCATTAGTCATAAAAACTTTCTTCCTTCTTCCACAGTCTAACAACCTCAACAGCGCCTCGGTCTCATCGTCGGATACATCAATTACCGCCATCAAAGCAACAAAGGAGGGACCACGTCGAATACTCGTAGTGGCCTCTAAATCTAAGGAAGTGCAAATTCGTGATGCATCCTCTGGGCTTCTATTGCGCACAATAACCATGCCCGAACCACTGAAGGCTTATAGCTTGCTATTGGATGATGGCAAAATCTTTTGTAGTACACAACGTAGCAATATATTGAAATTGGATTTCACAGTAAGTTAATACATAATACAAAACAAAACAAAAAAAGAAAAATATTACAAAACTAAAAAAATAATTATACTCCTACAGACCGGTCAACACTTATCTACATTGTATTGCGGTACTGGCGCTGTTTCCATGCGTCTATACCAAAATAAATTCCTGCTGATCAGTTCATTTGATGGCTTTGTCTATGCGATTGATAAGGCGAAAGAGCGTCCATGTGGGCGTTTTGCCGGCTGCTCCGGCAGCGTATTAACTTTAACAGTGGCGAGTAATAAGGTGATTCACGATATACATACATATTTTTTGGGCTAGTGTAGCAAGCTTACGTTTGAATCGTATTTTCTATATTTCAGATAATCTTAACTGCTAAGGACAAAACTTTGAGAGTTATTGAACTACCAAAAAATTTGTGTGCTAAACGAAAATAAGGCATTTAGAATTTGTTTTAAAAATAATACATATTTGATTTTGTCATTATGTAGACGACACAGCGCGGACTGTGAAGTCTATTGGAGTTTTGCATTTGTTTTATTCTTATGTACATATATATCGCATATGTGCATACATAAATTATATGTATGTACATATGTATTAATAAATACATATTAACTTATGTACATAATTAAGTATGTACGATCATGCACTCATATGTAAAATATATTTTTAAATTTAAGTTTACAATATGGAGTGTACGATTTTTCTTTAATGCAGTGTTGAATGAAATTAAAGTTTCATTAAATGGATTTAAATACATTTTATTATTAAGTCATGAATTTATCAGCACATGTGTTTTATGTATGTATCTATGTTTTAAAATTTATGAATAAATTTATTTTGTAATGATATTAAATGCAGAAATGTATTTGTTTCGTTGCATTTTACGCGGCATTGGGTAAGTCGACAAAAGTGATACTAAACTGGCCGGCGGGTAAGGTGGATATGGTGGGTAGTGGTAGGTATATACACGTATATTGCTACATTTTCAGATGTTTTAGATAACGTATATAATGCTGTTTAGGAATTTATATTTTCAGGTTAATCGGTTAGTTGCACAAAACATTATTGTACATCAGATCGTACCGGAAAAAAGATCACCGTACGCCCCTGTGCCTATCGTATTTTTGCAAGATAATTTGAAAAAAATAATCTGGGGTTGTTTTTTACATTTTTCGTCATACCTTCGGTATGTACAGTCGGATCTTAAAGGCCCTTATTATGAGTTGCATTCGATTTTCGATCTTCGCTGGCTATCGAAGATCGAAGATCGAAAGTGAAATTCGTATTATGAGCTATGCAAACGTGTCGAAATTTTCGTTGAGTNTCGTCTTTTTGAATTTATTGTCATATCTTCGGCATTTACAGTCTTATTGTTGAAGTATGGTACATATTTTCTTTCAAACTTCATTAATCTCAAGTACCTCTGGCACCTACCTACTATAACTCAGCTCTTATCACCTTATTGAAACACCCTGATGTCAGTAAATTAGGGCTTACTAAAAACTGTGCTCTGGAATCCAGTAGAACTACTTTACAAAAAAAAATCATTTTTTATCGCCGAATGTGTGTATGTAGGGCCAGTGTAAAATATACATATAAAGGCGACGGCTAAAAAAAAATAATCGAAATACTTTACAACTCAGGCATGTACGGCGAATTATTTTTTGTTTGCCTGTAATGTGATGCGATAACGATAAAAAGCAAAGGCCCTCAAACTGTCGTAATTTAAATTTTAAAATATTTTTATCAATTTTTCTTATAACTTTATTTCAATATGAGAAAACATCAGTCCAATTTTTCGAATATAGGCTAATCTACATTAGTTAAATAAAGTTGTGATTGTAATAAATTGCATACGTAACTTCGATACGTAAATACATATGTATGTATATATTTGTAACATTGAGTTTACTATGTATTAATATTTATTTTATATTAATATAAAAGTAATTGTATTAATATAAAAATGATTTTGTCTTCATCTAAACGTATGTATGTAGTTCATATGTTTGCAGCTATAAATAATCTTAGCGATACGTATATAAATTATTTTAGATACTTTTTAGATTAGTGTTGTAAATTGTTAGTAGTCAATAAAAACATGAAACAGAACTATTCGTAATAATAGTTTTTAGTAAATTAGATTGCAACAAGTTGTAGTTTAAATACAGCATAATTGCAAGGATTTTCTTTATAGAAACATATGTATGTATACATATACGTAAAAGTCTGAATGTATTTTTTTTTTTATAAGAATCGCTAAGTATTTTTACATCGTTCAAATGTATGTTTTAATGTGTTAAATTCACGGTGCGCGCAGTTAGCT